TTTGTGGTCATTAGAGAGCTATGAGATGATTAGTGTGAAAGTTTCGAGTCTTATCTCATGGTTTGAAGGACATTGACAGATTTCTTAACTACAACTATTGCTAAATGAGGACCGCACAGTGTCAATGGCAATTCTGTCTCTAGTGTGATCAATAGGATCACTCTTTTCCCCCACATATGATCCTGAAAATGGGTTGAGAGTAGTAGGGACACTGTGAAACTCTTGTTCAAATGAAAAATGTGTGCAATAATAATAGAGGATGAGGTTTCTCACTCTTCCCTACCACTGTCATTTTACTTTATTTCAAGAAGCTTTGAAATTTCATGCAAGTAACCATTTCATGAAGATAAAACAAAGTAGAGGTCAAGGGTGTGGTTTTATAGCTCCAACTTCATCACAAGGTGCTCCAGAAGTTCAATTAATTATAAAGTCACTCTCACTCTCAACATTCAGCATCTTTGTCTGACATTTTTCAATAGTGAATATATTAATTTTAAATAGCAGCTCTTGAGCATCCTGCTCTCAAGTCTAAACAACCTCTGCATTAATTTTAAGCACCAGGACATCCAGATGTCTATGCACTCAACTAGGATTTAGGAACACATAGGTGCATAGTAGCTTTTGTCATTAGCAGTTATATAAAGGTCAGGAGAATAAATGCTCTTCTGCATCACACTGTGTTAAGGATTAGAAGCAAAGACACTCAGTACAAAGAGGCTGTAGTACAAGGTCACCCACAACTAAACCTTGAAGTGCTCTGGCACTGAGGAAATGCTCACTAAGAGGTATGTTCACAGGACTTGTCAGTGCACTGAATGGATCCTGAATGTCACTTCTACGGGGCCCTGCTGAAACAGGGTATCTGGTTCCAAGAAGCAAAAACAAAACAAGCCACTAAATAATGCTCTCAAAACATATGCTGGAATAAGAGCTCTGCTTCTCAAAGCTTAATGTGCCTGGGTGTCAGGGGGATTTTGTTGTAAAGTAGTCTAATGTGGCAGGTCTGGGTGAATGCAAGGCCTAGACTTCTGTGTTCATGACACTTTCCCAGGTGCTGCTGATGATTCCAAGGCAAGAACTGCAATTTCAGTAAAAAAGTTGTAGAGGATGAGGAAGATGTTCCGGAGCTTAACTCATTGTGATCAACAGCTCTGAAGGGTAACTTGCTCTTTTAAAGAAAAGCCTTCAGACTAAATCTAAAAGCAGAGCCATAAACTAGGATGGCTCTTTCCAATGACCTCCTTAGTCATGGTCCAGATGCAACATTCAAGCACCTCTTTCATGCTCCTAAAAATTCAGATTTTCATGTGTGAAAATCAATTACACATGTATCTTTGAATACAAGGGCATAGGTTTATAAGTGGTTCTCGCATTATAATATCCAATACATTTCAACCTCAGAGTAATGAATGTCAGGCAGTGAGAAGGCCATGTACTCAGCTAAGAGTTCTGAGACAATCCTCTACAAGTACAAGAATATATTATGTTGATAAATTAGTTACACATGTGGTTATTTAAAGAAACAACCATATTATTGATGCTATCCTAGAGTGAGGAGTATCACCCCAATCTGAAGCTGGAACATGAAAAATAGTGTATATTTTGACAAATAACAGTAGCAAAAGTTAACACACAAAAAGATGGAGTATCAAGTTCTCTCTGTAGTGGTGCTATGCTTGGCTTGAAGTGAATTAAACCAACAAAGTCCATGCCCTTGAGACTTTTATAATCTAAGATAAGAAAGGGTAGAGCTCTTTCCTTTGCTGTCCCAAGAAATAAAGAGGTTAAATTCTTTGTCACAAAGAACATCCATGGCATTTCTTAGGGGAATTTACAGGAAAGCAAAGCAAGATTGAATTGCTGTATAGAGAGATCGGGAAGTACAATTGTATTATCCTCTCTTCTCACTTGGAAAATCATTTTTCCCTTCAATCTTCATGACCAATTCTTACCAGCAAAACTAGAAGACCTGGAAGCCAAATACTCCATATCCACAGATAAAAACCAGTTGTATTTGTGGAATTTTAGGGGGTTCTACAAACACATGTGGAACTCATTGCTTTCTATTGATTTAAAGGTTATTTGGGGTGAAACTATCAGGCAACATGGACAGTTAACAGACCATGACTCAAACAATAATAACCTTTCCACAGTGAACTGACATCTCTGTTTCCAGCAGCAAAGTGTCAAGGTATTGGTAATAGCCATGGGTTCCGTAGCAATAATACTTCTGTTGCATTGCTAAACTAATACCAGAGTAAGTATGTAGGCTAAGACAGGAGGGGCATCGAAGTGTAATTATTTAAACCCCTGACAACTAGATCATATTATGAGGAACAGTTATTCTCAACCTCTAGTCAGTCTTAATAATATTAAATATGAAACAAATTCATAGTACAAACACATTTTATTGAGTTTAATGTACAAGTTTTACCATATATAAACTTGTATAAAATAATTATTAAGAAGAAAATGTGTGATAGTCATGTTTCTTTACAAAACAACATTTATGACTCTGGAAATTGACAGCTATAACAAGTGCGAAGTTATTCATTAGGAGTTCAAAAGCAAATGTGTTAAGAAAAATGAATTGAATGGTTCACATCTGGGTAGAGAAGTTTCTCTTATCTCTGCAAGCCCAGCCTGCACACACATTATTACCCAATTTTGTCTCTGAGATGTCTCCCTTGACTCCCATAAAGGACTCCTAGTTAAATGCACACGTTTTAATGTGATATGTCTGTATATATTTATTTTACATAATAAAAGGCTTAAGGCTCATAGTACAAATAATACTTATATGTTACTGATATCCAAGTGTTTAACATCATTTATATGTCAAATGAATATGACATGAGGTACTATTAGTATGAAATATCATACCTCCCTTCTTCATAGACTCATAATGATTAACACAACCATGTTTATTGAACCAGGATGGACACATTCTACACTGAATTCCTTCTATAACTTGATTTCTTTATCCTCCTTTTGAAAATGACAGAAGACTAAGATAAGATGAGACACAGAGAAGATAACCTTTTTTTTTTCACTAACATCAAAATAGAGAAAATCCTGTTGACCATGAGATTTCTACCAGAATATTAATTCCACTACCTTTGTTATTATAAGTTCTTTCAAATGTTTTGCTTCATGAAAGCAACTATGATTTTCCATATCATTGTACTCTCAGGGCTTATTTCTTTTCTGTTTAACATCACTTTCTAATAATCATTCTTTAACACCTTGGCATCAATGCTTTTATATCTAATTGGTTAGTTTGCCTGCTTTCTTTACTTGACTTTGACTTCAATCGTTTATAGAGGTTTGGCTCACATTGCCACAAGACTCCTAATTCTTTTCCCCTGATCTGGTCACAGTTTTGTCCAATCTGTCTCCAACATTCATCTTATCCTGTATCTCTTGTGTTTATAACCCAAACTTATCTCTGGTACTGGCAAGTGAAGAATCTTGGGATACTTTTCCCAGCATGAAAGAAATTTGTGATTAAAGATGTTCAAGTGGCAGAGAGAAGCAGAAAGTCCAGTGTTTATTTTCTTCCTAGATAATGTAAAGTCTACTACATGTGCTTCTAACTCTTAGCTACATTTTTGTGACCTCAGATTGGTGAATAAAGTTTTCCTTTTCCCAAGGAAGACAAAGACAATGCAAGACAGATTTGTTGCAATTTAGTTCAGTAAATGCAATCATATCGAGTCAAAACAATGGATCTTCTGAATGCTAAATTACCATCAAGCATTCATTAGCATAATTTGCTGGCCAGAATTTAGATAAAGCAAGGTAGATTGTTATGATTGTCTCTGGTCCACAGAGTACAGCAGGATACAATCATTCTCTCCACCAAGAGAATATGTTACTGTCATGTCAAATTATTCACCTTCTGCAGGGGATGAACTTCTCCAGGAAGCTTGAAATGCATCTCTAGTTCTATATGGCACTGGATTTTTGTCATAAAAAAGATAAGGGAAGATTTTTTAAAATCTCCTTTCAGAGAAACAGTATTCACTGCTATGATTAGAGAGAAGGGGACTTAAATCTCTTGAATATCAAAGAGAGGAAGACAGCCCTCGGCCATCATCATTGCTCAGCTGCTTTGACTAAAACAGGAGACTCAAAAGGATTCCTCTCATTTTAGCTCTTGGGATAGGAAATAAAATCTTTGATCTTATATACCTGTATGAGAAATCTTGGCCTATTATGGACATTTTCACCTCACTATGTAACTACACAGGACATTTTCAGAGATGCAAAAAGATAACATGGAATATTAGAGGAACTTTATATTTCATATGAATGAGGAAATTTGGCTTATATTTAACTCCTGTGTTCCCATCAATAGTTCATGCACATTCTCCTTCCTGCCTGTTAGCTAGTTCATGTACCCTGTCTCCCAAGATCTGTTTTCACATAATGAGCTTACTTCTTTTTAAGAATAATAGTATTAAGTGATTCCTTCTATATAATCACTTTTTTATTCTATAATAATTGAAAATGTATTCATTAATAAATAAACATAGCAAATATGAAGATTGTTCAAAGCTGTACGTGAGAGGAAACCATTAAGGTTAATATTGAGTCCAGAAAATGCATTTTCTCTTCATTGGACAGAAAAATCTATAATGGTTTAATTATACAAATCATAGATTCTCATTTATCAAGTTTTTAGAAGAACTATCCTAAAAATATCTGATCCACTGTAAGAAAAGCAGTATATTGAAGGCAGATAACTAATAGATGAAACAATTGTGAGCTTACCTCCTAACAATCCTAAATACATTTTTTGATGAATAAACAAGATACATAAAACTGATGTGCCAGGACAAATAGCTGGCACTGGAAAGGAAAACACCAGTCAAATCTACAAAGAGTCCCACATACCTACCCAACAATGGAAACTCAATGAAGGTTGGTTAGATGTTCTAAGAGTGAGTCAATTAATTAATAATCATTTATATTCTGATTGAAGTAGGCAAACTAACCTGTAATTGGAGAGAAATTGCTTTGTTATCTCACTGAGACTGCAGTAAGTTATCCAAGTGAAACTGAAGAATGCCTGGAAAAGCTGCCAGGTTTTCCATACATATGTTCCCCACTTCAGAGCTCCAGATGGCTTTCCTGCTATTTCTGTTGGTGAGAAGACCATTATCAAAGAAGATACAGTTTCAAGGCTTCCTTCAATTTCAGTCTTTGTTTATTTGTTTTTAGTTGTTATTGTTTTTTTCAAGATAAAATTAATTCTTTTACACTATATAAATGAGAACATACAGAAAGGCAATAGAAAGAAAATATAAACCACCCACAACTCCACCGTGGCTTCTCCACTGTGGAGAGTCTCTCTCAGCAATTTCTTATAATATGAAAAATCCTTTTCTTATGTGTCACCATCTCTCTTTTTCAGAAACAGATCATACAGTATGTGGTATTTTGAAATGTGTCTTTTGTACAACAAGTATTCATCTTATGAAATATGAGTCTACTACAGAATTGTAATATTATTTCTTGTGTAATATTTCATAGGTAGGTGTGCTGTTGCATCTTAAATACCTTTTGTCAGACACTGAAATTATCTCAATTCTCTCCTATAATCAAACTAAAAATTTGAAAACAGCTTCATTTCTTTAGGCTGTCTTCATACAGAGATGCTTGGTTAAGAATTTAATAAATATGACATAAATTTTTCTCCCAGAAAGTTTAAACCTATTTTCTATCTTTCTGAAAGGGCATCATACTGCATGTTCACCTCATTAGTAGTAATATATACTATGATTCATTTTTATAATTTTTTATTTTATTAATCTTCATCACTGTGGGGGACATCAACATTTGCATATGGTCATCACTGATTCTATTACTTTAGGTTATGCTTTTCCATATTCTTAAGCCATTATTTCTGGAGATACATAGTTTTTTCTTATTTAAATTCTGAAGATATTGTAAGTGTTAAGTATATTAAAGTATTGCTAATCATATATACGAGAATTCATTTTATATATAAGAATTGGCATACTCACTGTCTAAAAACGGATCTTATTCCCAGAAAACTTCAGGGTACCATCTTGGCCGTAGAACATCATCAGCACTGCACCAAGGGGACTGATGTTCTTTATAACGTTCACAGTATGATTTGAAATGACTCAGCACTCTTCACAAAATGTTAGGTGGCCGCTAGGGGGCATCAAATAGTTACTTGAGCAAGAATCATGACCAAGAAACTCCTACAGGGGCATTTGTTCATTCATTCATTGACCCATTGGTATGTGCCAGGTCTGTGCATGAATCAAGGAAAGTATTTGAAATAAGAGTAGGACCCCTAAGGCACTGAAATTCTGCAAAACATGTCTTTACTATGGACTTCTGAATTGCACAAGTATCAATAACCTAATAAATATGTATCAGTGAAATGAGGAAATATATGAAATTCTATCAGCGTTTCATGCCTCTAGTGAGCTACATACCATGCAAATTCACATAAGAGTTGTCCTTTACTCATTCTTATGGCTATGCTACAAGCTACTTTCCTTTTGAGTTCCTGCCAAGTATCTATCAGGAACTGGGAAATTTTACAAATCATATAATATGGTTTAAGGAAAACATTTTATTGAACAGAAAGCAACCTTAAAAGCCAAAAGATGCTGAGAAAATAAAATGCAGCCCCTTGTTTCCCTTGTCCTCTCACAAGAGGTGAGGTGGGGCCAAGCAACTGCTATGGAAGGGCATGGGCCCTGGTAATTTGCCTACTTATGGAAGATATGATAAAATAACCCAAGCAGTCTGCCCCCACCCCCATCCCAAGCCATCTGAATAGGACACCAACCTTCACTGGAGTGACCCGGGAAACCAGCTGCCTGGAACCATGGAGCCTGCAGGAATGTATAGTCTCCAGCACTGATGAGTGAGTCACTAGTACACTGCACACAAGGGGAAAAGGAACCATGAGCCATGGGCAGTTCACTGCCCGGGAAATGCAGAGTGAGCTACAGCATATGTCTAGGCATTGCCGCTCAGGACACTACATTTTTTTTTTTTATGGACACTACATTTTTGATGACATATTACCATACTTACATTTTTGATGACTTATTACTATACTTAAGAATTCATACTACTGTATTCAAGATTTCATTGTGGTATATTACATTTTCCATGAAGGCCTCAAAATATTTCTCATATACAACTACTTCCTTCACTCTGACTTGGACACTTATACCATCAGTGTTCCTTGAGTGGGACTGTGTTTGCTGTAAAAGTGACACCACGTGACTTTCAAGGCTAACCAATGAATTTTCCCACTAGATCTTCTTGAGAAACTCATTCCTGAGAGTTGTTCTCCATGTGATGATTTGCAAATATATATTCTCTATATAGATGCACTACTGAAGTGCCAGGCGATAGCCAGAGCCACCTCCAGACACAGGACTGAGCTTCAGGATAACCTCAGCCCAAATGCAACAGAAGAGTCACTGAGCAAGAACCAGTGTAGAGTCTAACTAAGGTCCACAGCCACTGAGAGTTAGTAATAAGATGATTGATGTTTTTTAAAGCCATTATATTATTGAAGCAATTGCTATATAGCAATCAACAAGTGGAGCAAATATATATATTTTCTGCACCTCTATAAAAAAGTGAAAGTATATACCAGTGAACTATTATGTGCTTCTTTTCAGTTCCAGTTGATAAAAATAACATAGCCCAGGGGAAAGTCAGGGAAGTGATGAATGTTTCTTTCTCCTTCAATAGCTATCATCTTGGTTGAAACTAGGGGATTCCAAGGAAAATGCATGTCCAATAACTATCAATTTTCAAAATTAATGCATATTGATCAAAAGAAAAGTAGTTAATGGAACATGAAAATAGTTAATGGAATATAAAATCTTCCATAACTGCCAAAAGAATGAAATTATTTCACATTTTAATTGAATTTTAAAACTGAACTAAAAATGGTGCTTTCATGTCTGTCTGGCCAAGATAGACTTGCAGATACCAGGTGTATTAGTCAGCTTTTCCATTGTTGGAACCAAATACTTAACCACCACAGCTTAAAAAATGTTCATTTGGCTCATGTTTTCACAGGATTCAGTGCATGGTCAGCTGACTTCAAGGCAGAAGCATCATGGTGGAGGACATGATGGAATAAAGTTTTATAGTTCATGTCAGCCTAGAAGAAGAGTACAGGAAAAGAGTCCCAAAGACATGGCTAAGGATAAGATATAGACCTAAGTTCATGCCTCCATTGCCAAACCAGACACACACACAAGTGTGCTTTACTAATCCCCTAAGCAGCTCTAAAGCCAATCAAGTTGACAAACTAGCTTAACTGTCACACAATATTTTCCTCCCTGTTGAAATAACCCTCCACAAAAAAACAAGAGAAAGATTTATGAAAGATAGTAATTCATAATACATAGGAAATAGATAATGTGAATTCTCTACCACTGTGGTATTAAATGCCTTGAAAGGTTTGTGGGGCATGACACCAGGAAGAGGAAACTATATAGGCAGCATTCTAATCATTTCTCTCAGTGGGCATGACAACAAAAGCTATGGAGATACCAATCTGGCAAGAGTTTTACAGAATTGAATACGCGGGGTGGTGGTGGGGAGAATGAGAGAGAGAGAGAGAATAATAGATATTTGCAGTGGATATATGGGGCCACCTCCAATATTAGGAGGGTACTGATCAGTGTATGGATGTGGAAAAATTATATAATATTGACCAAAGAATAATCTACAAGAAATGAATAGGGGAAACTTTAAGAGTAGCCACAGAAAAGTGCCATACTATAGGGAAATGAACAAAGTTAAAGATGGTAGATTTCTCATTGGAAGCAATGCAAGTGAGAAGACATCAGAGTAACATTTTGAACTACTGAAAGAAAAAGAAAAATCTGCCAACTTAGACTCCTATGTCTAGAGAAAAAAAATTTTCAAAACAAAATGAATATCAACACATTTTCAGTTATGCTATAAACACTAAGGTGATTAAAAGAAAACAGTGCTAAAAAGGGAATATGGTATAAAGGAGAATTATAAAAAATGAATTACTCAAAGAGGAGAAACCAGAAAAAAAGTAGAACAAATAGAATAAAGTAAAAAAATAGAAAGATGATATATTTACACATAACTTTGTAAAATGTAAATGACCTAAGTACTTCAATTCCAGAGATTGATTATGAGACTGGGTGGAAAAGCAAGACCCAGCTGTATGTTGCTTACAGAAAATGCACTTTAGACATAAAGAAACTTTGGTTAAAAAGGAAATTGCAAAAGAAAATATTTCATGCTAGCCTCTGTTAAAAAGGAATCTGACAGGCTATAATACCAGACAAGGACTTAAAAATACATTTTATTAACAGTAAGGAAAATAGTTTTATAACAATAAGACAGTAAAGAATTTCAGAAGTCATAACAGTCCTAAATATTCATTCACCTAGAAGTAGCATAGATTCTACTGTTACAGAGGAAGGAATTCTTCCTGCCCCTTCTGTGAAACCAGAAACCAGATACTTGATACCAAAACCAGAAGACATTACAAGGAAAGAAAAAGCTACAATCTAGCATGTTCCCCTTGTGAACATAAATGCAACTAATTTGTAACAAAATTTAGCAAATGAATTAAATAATGCATAACAAAGAAAAAAATTAGGAAATATGTCTCACCACAGAAATGCAAAATTGGTTACTATTCAGAAATGAGCCAATGTAATACAATATATTAAAAAACTAAATATATAATATGTATATATGTATACACACAAACACATAATCTCAACAGAAGCATTAAAAATACAGTTTCCAAGTTGTGATGGATTAACTCCTCATTTATCAATTTTCTGATGGTACAGAATTGTACTCTTACAACCTCTCTGTTCTTCACATTCAGTACGTCATTCAAATAATTGCAGGAGATAGTCAACATGTTATTATAAAAACTGTAGGCTACATGATTTTGCCCAACTGTAGTCTTATCTAAGTGTTCTAAGTATGTTTAAGGTTACAACATCTGGTAAGTTGGGTGCATTGAATGCATTTTCAACATACAATATTTTCAAATTATACCGAATATATTAAGAAATAACACCATTAGGAAGCTCTTCCATTCTTCCCACGCTCCAAGGACAGAGAAGCTGAGCCAGTCCCAGCACCCAGAAGGAAGCTCCCCCGCCACCATCCCATGCTCCTAGAGCAGAGAAGGTGAGCTGTGTGGGTGCCAGAAGCACACCCCCCCCGCCCCGTAGAAATGAGAAGACATGTAAACAAGCCTCAAAAACAGACTTCTAGATCACCTACAGCAACCCTAAAGGGAAACGAGATGGATCAATCTGATACTCAACCACCTGGACTCTCTGAACTGGCAACAAAAAAGGATCTGGGAAAAATGAAATCAGAAATGATTTCTCAGATAACAGCAAAGATTGTGCTCATAGTGCAAGACATGATTAATAAATCTAGAGAGGACATAGATAAAAAAAAATAGAGGATCTGAGTAACATGATGGAATCCCAACATAGGAAACAAATGGAATCCATAAAACAGTTGCAAACAGATTTCCAGGAGATTAAAAACTCCATCTAAAGTATGTGCAGCAGAATGAACCAATGTGAGGATAGAATTTCAGATATAGAAGATAAGATTGCAATTAGTGACCAGGAAAAGAAAAATTGCTTT